AACTTTACTGCTTCTGAGTCATCTTGTATAGATTCCTTTTCTGTTCTGCTGCCTTTCACTTCATCTAGTGGAAGCTGTCTGCTAAGGAGTCAGCTCTCTTTGTCAGTCTAAGGGTTTCAGAAACCAGTGGGCCAAGAAGTCAGCTGGAGTCAGGATCATGTTAGCCAGATAGCCAAGGAACAGATTGATAGTATTATATACAAATATCTGCTTTGGTAGGATCAGACTGATGGAGCCATGTAAATAGCTTGCTTGGATGTTGTGAACAGTGTTTACAGCATCAGCTGAATATCAAACTTTGACTTGTAAGATGGCAAGTCCTTAAGTTGATCTTCAGGGTGTCTTTAGTTGTAGGTTGAGATGGCATGTTTGATGGCAGAGTACTATAAAATTTCCCACCATTTGAGCAGTTCTATGTTAATATACAATTGTCTCATGCATAATGCTAGCCACTTAGCATTGCACTATAAAAATGTTACCCCTTCTTCATACAAATCTTGATATTCTCTCTCTCTCATCCTTTGTATTTTCTTGCCCAATGCTTCTTCATCAATATTTTCTCTTATATATTTCATAGTCCTCAAGGCAGTAGAAGCCTTCACTGCTGCCCTTGTCCATGTCATTCTCAACTGTGCTACTCTCCTCATCCTCATCATTCTCAAGGAGAGAATTGATAGACTAGTCAAAGATGCTCATCTTGGATGGTTGGAGCATTGCTAGGGAGCTGATCATACTGGTTGCTGGGTTCTTCTCTGTTATTACTATTGGCAGGTCAATATCTTTGACTACTGGCTCCAATTTCAGCATCATACTGAGTCCTGCCATATGCTTGTGCTGCTGCCAGATCCTCATGATAGAATTGGAAGTTTCCATAAAACTCCAGGTTAAGGAACTGTCTAGCAGCTCATCCCCTGAGGAAATGTCAGAGGCTGTGGTCAGAGATGTGGATGTTGAGAGGTACTCAAAGCCTATAGGCATTGAGTACAGACTTGGCATCCAAAGAAATAGTGTTGGGACTGAGGACACAGAAGGTAGAGAGATGATTTCCTCTTCTTGCAGCTTCACTGGGAGTGACAGAACTGTAGGGTCTCACCCAGAGGTCTGCTTCATCAATCAGGATACTGAGTTCTCAGAAGAGGGACTCAGAGATCTCAGTTTGGAGACTATATCAGCTTGGAGATGTGAATCTCCAGATAATGGCCTCTTCTCTTTGTCATTGCTCTTACTGTCAGCAATCTTTCTGCTCTTCCTCATACTCTTGCTGGGCTGTTGCTCTGGCCTGCTCAGTGAGTTCTTCTTGGGCTTGCTTGGAGTCAGCCTGAGCCCACTCCTCTTATCATTGTTATTGTTATTGTTATTGGACTGCAGCATCATAATTGAATGGAACTCAGAGGTCTCAATCTGAGAATATTCTCTGAATAATCTGATCTCAGGCCTCCTCTCCTTGTTATCTGATCCTTTCTTGACTTGACTGGCTTTTGACTATCCCAAGGTCACCATTGTTGGAGTGGTTCAAGAGTGTATGACTCTCTACCAGAGTGGCATAGAGAGAGTCATGTTCTAAGTGTAGTGATAGATCTTGAAGTCTTAGAGCTATTCTAAGGATATCAAGGGAGTCTCTAGCATAGTCTCTAACTCCAGGCTCCCTTGGAGCAGTAGATGGGTCAGGAGATAGTGAGTCATTAAAGAAGTCCTTGGGGAGGTCCTCATCCTTGTGGTTAGAGATAGAGGGTGGGACTCATGGGTTTCAGAATCCTGTAATGCAATGGTTGCAGTTTCTGCTGTTTGTTTAGAGGAGTTGAGAGGAGTATCAGTGCTCTGCCTCTTCTTAAATATTCCTTAGATGCAAGCTGCCAGGCTTGGCTTCAGGTAGAGATCATTCCAGAGGCTGGAAGGAGGTGAGGATGGAGGTGAGGATGTCATGAAGGAGGAGGTCAGATGTGATGTTTCTTAGAATTTGATAGATATGCTGAAATTTCTGGTAGTGTCTGACTGCTCAGATGATGATTGATTGGCATTCTCAACAAAGTTGGATTATCACTAGTAACTCTAGCAGTGTTCTGATGATGGAAGCAAGGAGTTCAAAGAACTCATGTTCAAAGTTTGGGTCAAAAGGATTAATAGATGACATTCAGTTTCCTTCATGCTTATTATATATGAGAAAAGAGAAGTGATGTTATGATTTTTCACCTTTTTATCTTTTTCTAGTCATTAACCCCTATTCATGCTTAGTCAGGGTGCTTGAACTAAGTGCTTAAGACCATGAGACAGACTTAGTCAGCACAACTGGCTTGTTCTGTCATTGTCTTTCAATGCACAGCACTGCCCAATGATGCACAATAAACCTTTTGTGTACAGTAGTAATGCCCAAGAACAATGGGCACAAAGGATATAGCAATATACAATAGGCAAGTAGTATAATTAGCATGACCTGTATAGTATTTAAGACAACTTGCTCTCACTGATAATCTTCAGCTTTGAGCTAAAGTTTATTCTTACACCACTCTACCTTGAGCCAATTCCTAAGGCCTTGTATCACATTAATCAAATACAATTAGTGAACTCTAATGTTCCACTTGAAGTGCAAAGTGATGTTAGTTTATCATATAAAGCTTGGGTCTAACAATTAGCTCAAAGCTTTTTTTTTCCTTTCTTTATGCATAATTGATGTGAAAGAAACCAAATACCCTCTATCAACATATCAGACTCTAACTTTGACCATGAGTTCTTTGAACTCCTCAACTCTATCATCAAAACACTTTTAGGATTGTTGGTGATCATCTAGCTGTGCTAAAAATGCCAATCAATCACTGCATGAGCCATCAGACACTATAATGAGTTCCAGCATATTTGACATATCCTATGAAATATAACCTCTGATCTTCCCTTACATGATATCTCTGAATCCTGATGAACATCCCACCAGCTCTTGACAAGCCCTCTATCCAAAGCTGGGCCTAGCCACTCACATTAAGAGAATGTTTAAGAAGAAGAAAGACACCAATATCCTCTCTGATGATCTAACAGCTGAAACTGAGACAATTGCCTTACAGGATTCTACAACCCATAGATTCTGCCCCCCATTCCTAACTGAGAAGACAAAGATCTCCCTAAAAACTTCTTTAAGCAGTCACTATCCTCTGACCCTTCCACCATCTCTAGAATCCATGGGATTGCTGATATCACCTGAAACTCTCTTGATGCCACTAAGATGGCTCAAGAATCCCAACATTCTTTCTGACACACCTCACCAGTATATGCCATATCTGCAGGAAGCCCCATCACCAGCCCCCCACTCTCCACTAGGACAAGCACAAGGATGGGGAGGGGCTCTTCCAAGTGCCTTGAAGACAAGCAGTAAGGACAAGAGGAGCAGGATGAAGTCATCCACTGAATTTTCTCCATCTGAGACCTTAACATCTTGTTCAATTATGATAAAGCAGTCTGACAAGAAAAGTGCTGAAGAAGAAAAGCTTCAGATCATGAGCATGCTCAGGATATACTTACCATATAAATCTTGGAGGAGCAGCAGAGGGCTCTTAAGGCCACAGAGTATAACCAGCAGCATTGCAGCCAGTAGCATACAGTTGAGACTGTATGATTTGAAAGAGGATCACCAGACTGGTATAGGCTTCATACTGAGCTCTTCCTTTCCACTCCCATATTCTGGGAGCCCAGTATAGCAGAAGAAGAAGATTCATGGGCAGGAGGACCCACCAAAACTCTCACTGCAGACAAAGCCAGAAACAGGAGAGACAACAGAATCCCTCCACCATCCTGAGATGATATCCACCCTAGTAGCCCTGAAATGCTCAACTATCCCCTTCCCTAATACACCTCAAGCACAGACTCTAATCTTGGAGATGATGAGTCCATCCTTGGACACTATGGGCTTTAAGTTTCTCTCAATGCCCATACTCCTGCTTGCACCCTCTGAAGCTTTCTCAGAAGCCCAGTCACTCACCAGTTCCTCAATAAGGAGTTTTATAGAAACTTCCACCTCTATAATGAGAGAGTGGAGGCAGCATGAGCAATAGGGAGCAACAGATATGATATCCAGATTAGAAGTCACTCTACTGCTGACTATGTCATCACTATTGCCTCTGACAATTTGAGCCTCATTGCTGGATCTAGCACACAGCCAGAGCAGTAGCTCCTCAATAACACTATGACCTCCAAGAGTTGAGAAGAGTATCTTTGACCTGTCCAACATCTTTTATGAAGAGGATGAGAAGGGTGAGGAAGCACTCAGGAGCACAGGGGACAGTGAAAGCAGTAAAGAACCACATGCAGGAGGGAATATTGCATACTTCTATCTGGAGGACACAGATACAGAAGCCTTGAGAGAGGAGATACAATAAAACAGAGAGAAAGAAGTTGAAAATTGGTATTAGAAAGGGGTAAAGTTTCTATGGAGAGATGACAACTGGTTGTTAACTAAAATGAGACAATTATATATTGCTGAATCATCTGAATGACAGGAGATCCTAAGACATACTGTGACTAACTATGTGGTGAAGATCTACAATCACTATCACCTGGAAGACCAACTCAGCCAACTATTGGCATATCAGTCACCATTAAAAGTCTGACCAATGCTCTGGTCACCATTCATCATGCCAAAATAAGCTGTCTATATAGCTCTGTCAATCCAAAGCCAAGATTCATACTTAACCTCTTTGGTATGAATCTTAGCAACTCAGCTAACCTGAACCTGAGTATGGCTCATACTTCAGCCTATCAGATATGAAAACCCCTGGATAGGGGCCAGGAGTCAGCTTCTAGCCATGCAACTGCCTCTGGATGAGGCTACCAAAAGTAGCACCAGAAAAAAACCCATTTGAGACAATCCAGAAGCTATTTGTCTAGATTTCACTATCTGCAATGGAGTAATAGTATAAAAGGAGACAGTGCCCCAGAGAAGTCCAGTCACTGATGACTTATTCTCTGGAGCCCTTGCCAAATGGCAGCAACTTTCCTTTGAGGACTAGCCCAATCCAATGGGTGTCCTCCCTGAGAACACTACTATACTACAGTGCAAACTGGACTTACTTAGGAAGCCACAACCCTTTAAGGGAGTCTTGGATAATATTGACTATTTTCTGGTTGATTGCAAATAATATTTTGAGGTATATACTGGATACCTTAGAACTAACATGAATCAAGTAGTTTTTGCTGCCTCATACTTTAAAGAAAAGGCAAAAACATGATGGATCCTCATCTCCCCCAACTTTTGATCTTTTATATGTAGGCATTATCATTACTCTTTATAGCTAGTATTCAAACAAATACTCTATAATAAATTCATTGACTCTATGGTTCAAGAAGTCTACAAGCAGAAGATCAAAAAGTATAAAATGAGTGATAAAACAGTAACAAATACTTTGATGAGCTAGAATGACTTACAAAGCTCACCAGTATCAGAGATGACATGGCTAATGATGGCTGAATGGTTGAGGCTCTCAAGAGGGAAGTTCCCTTCTTGTACATTATGATGATCTCAGCTATTGGCATCAAAGCATTGATGCCAGTAGGCTATAATAAATAGAAAGAATAAATCATTGAGATATACAAGAAGCAGCAAAGACAGAAAGCAGAACAGCTGACACTGCAAGACTACAACAAGAAGCTGACTCCATCAACTCTGAACATGTCATTGGGAACAACTGCCAGAAAACCATCAGGAACCCTGATAGCCTCATCCTCCTATGGCATCTAGAAGACAGGCACTGGAACTACATACACTGGCATAGGAAAGCTAATGAATATCAACCAGATGAAAAAAGAAGAAAAATGCTTTAATTGCAGGCAGAAAGGCCATATGGCTAAGAACTGCCTAAAAAAGAAGCAGACTCATGAAGACATTCGAGTGCAGATAGCTAAACTCCAGAAATTAGAAAAAGGACTAGGCACTGAAGCAAAGATTGAAGAGGTAAAAGATGAGACTGATCAGTAAGTGATTCTATTAGATCAGCCACAGGACTTTATAGTGTGCAAACAACAGCCACAAGATGGACTGACAATACCTCTATAGTTACCCCTATGCCTAGATTATATATGTATTTGAATATATCTGGGTTATCCACTTCACACATCAAAGAATCACACAAAAAAACTCAAACACCTACAGGCCAAACAGAGGCAGCAAGCTCTGCTAACTGGCTCAAGCCATTCAACACTGAATGGACTTGACAAACCATCCTGAAAGCAATAACTGAGGAAGCTGCCAAAGCTGCACTTCAGAACTGAGTACACAAAACCCAGACTGAAGAAGCTATGGGCAATGTTATCAAGAAACTACAAAAGACAGAAAGAGGCCAGGCCTTAGAGTGGCTTGACAAACTATGAGGATCCTGATGCTATATGCATCAAGCCAAAATGGTTGGAAGAGACCTAACCCTTAAGATGTAGATTGAGACTCTCACCAATCATGCCAATCATGCAGTAACAGTTCTGATTGACAGTGAATGTACAGGCAGCTCTATTAATAGGGCTTTCATTGACAAGCACCAGTTGTCAACCTGAGTGACCATGGCTCCAATCTCAGTCTACAACATGGATAAAACTAAGAACCAGGCCAGGTCTATTACCAGGTTTGTAGAAATTCAACTTTGAATCAGAGATCACTCTGAACAGATTGATCTGGCCATTACTGATCTCAGTTCCAAGAAAGTATTCTTAGAGCATGACTGATTGATCAGACATAATCTGCTGATCAATTAGAAAACTGGAAAAATTATATTTGCTCAATGCAAATGCCACAAACTCCCATTTAAGCTATCAGATAAAGATCCAGATAACAGATGAGACAAAGAAATAGAGGACAGAGAAACTATTTTGGCAGTAGACCTGGAACCTGTCATACATTTGCAAGCTGTTCACCATGCCAATGACTTTGCTGCTAAGGCCTATGAGAAGAAAGAAGAAAAGATATTCAAAGAAATGGTACCCAAGTGAGTCCAAGATTACAAGGATCTCTTCAAGAAGGAAAGTTTTGATGAGCTCTCAGAACCAAAACTATGGAATCATGCTATTGAGCTAATCTCTAACACAAATACCAATCTCAACTGCAAAACATACTCATTTGGGCATCACAAACAGCAAGAGCTTGACAAGTTCCTCGAAGAAAACCTGTCAAGTGAAAGAATACAGCCATCAAAATCCCCTATAGCATCCTCATTCTTCTTCATCAAAAAGAAGAATGGCAAGCTCTAACCCATTCAGAATTATCAAAACTAAATGAGATGACAATCAAGAATCGCTATCCACTTCTCTTGACCTCAGAATTGATAGACAAACTTAGGGGTGCCAAGTATTACATGAAACTTGATGTCTGATGGGAATATAATAATATGTGGATCAAGGAGGGAGATGAATAGAAAGCAGCATTTCAAACTAACCAGAGGCTATTCAAACTCATGATTATATTCTTTAGGCTAACCAATTTGCCCACAACCTTCCAGTGGATAATGAATGATATTTTTAAGGAACTCATCACTACTGGAAAGGTAACCATCTATCTGGATGACATTTTGATCATGTCAAAAACAAAGGAGGAGCATAGGAGGCTGGTATGCTAAGTGTTAGTATTAATGAGAAAACACAAATTGTTCCTCAAAGCAGAGAAGTGCAAGTTTGAGGTACTTGAAATAGAGTATCTGGAAGTTATCATTAGCAAAGGAAGCATACAAATAGACCTCATCAAAGTGGCCAGAATAATCAAGTGGCCAGAGCCCAACAAGAAAAAGAAACTACAATTCTTTCTAGGCTTCACCAACTTCTACTGACAATTTATTAGAGACTACAGCAAGGTGGTTTGCCTCATGACACAACTCATGAGGAATGCTCTATGGGTGTGGGGGCTCTTCCAACAACTCACATTCAACAACCTTATATGACAACTGGCTGAAGACATCATACTAGCTATCTCAATGCAAGAAGGGAAGTTCTAAATTAAAGCAGACTCCAGTGAAGGAGCCATTGGAGCCATACTCTCTCAGGAACAAGAGGGAAAATAGCAATCTGTAGCATTTCTCTCAAAAGCCCTGTCAGTGATGGAAAGAAATTACAAGATCTATAACAAGGAACTCCTAGCCATCATGTTAGCTCTAAAGGAGTGGAGGCACTACCTGATCAGCACAGCCCAGATATTTGAAATCTAGACTGATCATCAAAATCTGTGATACTTCTGACAGCTGCAGAAACTAAATTGATAACAAGCATGATAGGTTACTGAGTTAAGCCAATATCAGTATACTCTGCATCACAAGGCAAGAACAGCAAATAAAAAGGTGGACTTACTCAGCTGATGAGCTGATCACAACTAGAAAGAACATGACAATGAGGGGGTAGTGCTGATCTGCCCAGAGCACTTCAGAGCAATGATCATGCCCATGGAGGAGGAGATCCACAAGCAGATTAAAAGTGCAACCAGGAACACCAGCAAGTGGGATCAATGTGTAGCCTCATCCCTGAACCACAAACAGGAAATAATGATGCAAGAAAGAATGATTCAATACAACAGAAGAATCTACATTCTCTGGGATATGACATTACAAGGTGAGATCATCACCATATATTATGATCACACAACTATGAGACACTCTAGAATTGCAAAGACTAAAGAATTGGTACTGCAAGAATATTGGTAGCCAAAATTAGGCTAAGACATCGAATGATATATTAAGGCCTGTGAGTCCTGTCAATAGGAAAAGTCATTGAACCAAGCTCATGCCATATCTCTACATCCAAATGAGGTCCCACAAGTCTCCTGGACCCATATCTCTGTCAACATGATCACTGGATTACTCAACTCTAATGGCTATAATGCTATAATCATCATAGTTGACTGCTTCTTAAAGACAATCATCCTGATTGCCTACTCCACTAAACTAACATCAGAAGGATGGATGAAGATCCTTCATGATGAGGTATATGCTAAATACAGTATGCCTCAGATCGTCATCTCAAATAAAGGCCCTCAATTCATCTCAAAATTCCTTGACAATCTATATCATCTTCTAAACATCAAATGAAATGCATCCACAGTCTACCATTCTCAGACAGATGGGCAAACTGAATGAGCTAACCAAGAAGTTGAAAAATATCTTCAACTATTCATTAACTATTGACAAGATGATTGGGCAGAATGGTTAGCACTCACTGCCTTCCAGCATAATAATCAGATTCACTCAGCAACCAGCAAAACTTCCTTCTTTGTCAACTACAGAAGACACTTCAATATAATCCAAACCAAATGCATATATACAACCACTCCTGCCTCTACAGACTTCACCACCACAATGATAAAAATCCACAATGAAACAAAGACAGCTCTTAAATAAGTGGCCACCACTATAAAGAAACAATATGACAAACACTATCACCTCACATAACAATATTCAGTCAATAATAAAGTTTGGCTGGATATGACCAACCTCCACTTATTGCACCCCAAATAAAAACTCATAAACAAATAAATAGGTCTCTTTGCTGTTCTGGCCAAAGTCAGCACTTCTGCTTATAAACTTCATCTTCCACCATCCTGAAAAATTCATAATGTCTTCAATGAGGCATTATTAATCTCTTATGTCACATCTGCCTTCCCAAATCAAGAAAGACCACCACCACCACCATCTGATCTAATCAATGATGAAGAGCATTATAAAATTGATCAAGTCCTAAACCACAAACTACAAAAAGTCAAAGCTCACAGTGGTAGTATGACTACTATAGTGGATTATCTCATTAGCTGGAAGAGATATGAATCTGAATCCAACCAGTAGATTAATGAAAAATACATGGATGCAGCACAGGCCATACAAGACTATAAAATATCTCTAAATTAAGCCATCAGGATGATGGTCTTAAGAAGGAGGTAATATTATGATTTTTCACCTTTTTATCTTTTTCTAGTCATTAACCCCTATTCATGCTTAGTCAGGACACTTAAACTAAGCATTTAAGACCATGAGACAGGCTTGGTCAGCATAACTGGCTTGTTCTGCCATTGTCTTCTGATGTATAGCACTGCCTGACAACACACAATAAACCTTTTGTGTATAGTAGTGACATCTAAGGACAATAAGCACAAAGGATATAGCAACATACAATAGGCAAGTAGTATAATTAGCATGACCTATATAGTATTTAAGACAGCTCACTCTCATTGGTAATCCCCAGCTTTGAGCTAAAGTTTATTCTTACACCACTCTACCTTGAGCCAATTTCTAAGGCCTTGTATTACACCAATCAAACATAATTAGTGAACTCTAATGTTCCACTCAAAGTGCGAAGTGATGTTAGTTTATCATGTGTTGATTATCATATAAAGCTTAGATCTAATAAGTGAAAGCTTCAAGCTAATTGTTAAGCCCAAGTTGCATATAATCATTAGCATGTGATAAACTGATATCACTTCATATTTGAGTGTTTCATCAAAATCCACTGATATGCTTATTAATCAGATGTGTCAAGGCTATTACTGATTAGTGTTATAATTTCTCTATTATTCTATTTTTTTTCTTCAAATTAACCCCTATTTATGTTTAGTCAGAGCACTAACACAAGTGCTTAAGACCATGGAGCAAGGCTTAGTCATCACAACTAGGCCAAGTTGGTCATTGTCTTTTGACACAACAATATTGCTCAACAATACACAATTGTTCTTTTATGTATAATAGTGATATCTAAGGACAATGAGCATCAAAGATGCAGCAACACATAATTAGACAGCAGTATATTTAGTAATGACTTGTACAGTATTTAAGGAGCTCACTTTTGCTGGTAAATCTCCAGCTTCGAGCTAAAGTTTACTTTCACACTATCCTCTCTCAAGCCAGTTCTCAAGGCCTTGATGCACCACTATAATCATAATAAAGTGAACTCTGACATTCTACTCAAAGTGCAAAGTGACATCAGTTTATCATGTGTTAATAATCACATGCAGCTTGGATCTAACAATTAGCTTGAGAGTGAAGTGGTATAAAAATAAACTTTAACTTAAAGCTGAGGTTATCTCAGCAAAAGCTGTCCTACTTATATACTATGAGTCCTAGCTATTATAAATAATACTACCTATTGTGTCTGTCCTTGTTGTTGTGCCTATTGCCCTTGAGCATTGCTACTGGCTATAAAAGAATGATTGTTTATCATCAAGTGTTATTGTCACATCAAAAGACAATGACTAATCTAGCTTGTTATGCTGACTAAGCTGATCCCATGGTCTTAAACACTGGTCCAGGCATTCTGACTAAGCATAAATAGAGGTCAAAGTCAACAAAATAAAAGAAAAATCATAACAAACACTCCCAAGACTCTCAGTGGTATGGTAGGACTTGATGTTGTCTCAGGCCTCCTTGGCTGAAGTTGCATTTCAAGTCAGATGGTATTGGAAAGGAAGGATATTGCTAGCGAAAGTAGTCAGAGCTTCTTCATTCTGTCTAACTCAACCTTTTACTATATTAGAGTTAGGGAACTCAAGCAGCTTGGGCTCACTCCCATCAGTGACAGTCTAGAGCTTCTTCTTGATGAGATCCATGTGCTGAGCATAAATCCAATCAAAGTAATTGGTGTTGTCAAGAGGAGCAAACTGGTATTTAGACCATGCAGCTATAATAATGAATATAGTGATAGAAATGATAAAATAACAAGATGTCAGATAGACACAGAATAATAGTAAGGCACAAATAAATACAGGAAACTATAATGAGAGGCTGTGGTACTACTGACAATAAGCATGAGCAAGATGGCAAATGAGTGGAATAGAGGCAGGACCAAGAAACAAGTGATAAAAGTTAGCAGGGCTCAGAGCCTATAATCTGTTGGAATTTAGATGCTGATGATTTGGAGAAAGGCATATTGGACTTGAAGGAAGAGTATATTTGGTTATATAGAGTAAGGACAGTGGTGGTTCTGAGTCAAGTCAACAAGATACAAAAAATGTCAAAGTATAAAATAAGCAGTAAAATATATATAAATAGAATATGATATTAAAGCTGTGAAAACTGAATTTCAACAATAGATGGTATCAATAGTATAAGAGCCAAGCATCACTGAACTGAACACTTCAACTTGATATAGATCAATACTATGTTCATCATGCAACAATGCCAGAGGTATTTTGACTGTAATGTAGCAGAATGTACTCTGAGTTACTCATATCACTCTGATCCATATCACTCAATTCTAGCCCATTGTTAAATAAGCAGACTCAGTAGAGATACAAAAGAAAGGTGAGAGAGATTAGAGGTCAGAATCTACAGGTGATAGCTTTATGGCTATGGCAGATGTCAAAGGAATTTGTGACTGCTCAATGATGCAGATACTGTTGCTGCTTGGCAACATATCTCCAAACAACTCTGGCAACTTGACAACTTTGCTTTCTCTGACATGAAGAAGTTGAAGGAATAGATCAATTCCAGAGACTTCTCTTCATTTCCAGAAATAGTTTTACTGGATAATAGGTTGCACACTGTACAAACATGTTCAGAACAGGCAATGGTGAAGTGTACATACTGCTTTCAGAAAGTCAATTTGGTCCACACTAATAATCTCTTCATAAGTAATCATCAGCTTGTTTATGCAACAAAGGAAGCTTGGAACATGAGTAATAAGAGTAAGACATGATATGGAAACTGTTAACACTATACATATATTAGGTGCAACACTTATATGGCAATCACTTTTTTGGGGGAGGGGGGAGGTTAGGGAAAGAAGATGATGTCTGGTTTGTGGATGAGATGGACTTTGTGATCACTTGTATCTGAAATGTAGTAACAGATTGCCACTGGCACTGGATGTTTGCTTTTTTTGGGGGGGAGGGGAGGCATGCTTGCATATAGTGGAAAATATAGCCAATGTCCTCCATAAATAGAAAGACTTGGTAATGGCTGCTGTGGGTGTTTGTGAATGCTCTTTACATTTATCTCTTCATACCTCTACACTGTACAGGCACATTATGACACACTCATGATCAGTGATATGAATGACTCATTGCAGCCAATGTAATACCCCCCTGAGTGAGGAGGTATCATTGAACGGGTGGACCTAAGCCTAAAGTCCGGAGGATCGACTCTGGACCATGATTTTCTGAAAATCATGTGCTATACATTACAAAGCCAAAATAATCAATTAAGGCACGCTTTACTATGCTGAAAATTAGTCTGAGTGAAGCATTTTGGTGACACCAAGGTAGCGGGAGCTCATAAATAATTTAAACGGGCGTAAAGACACTAAACGAAGGCGGATTCAATGGAATCCCTCGCGCCGTGAGGTCACATGATTTCGTCCATAAAAAACCGTCCAGGTCCGCTAAGAAACTTATCTAATCTCGATTGCTTGCCTGTCAAGAGATTAAAGAGTCTACTTAGGGGAGACTTGACGGCGAACTGTGCAATTAATAATGATGACTCGCCTGCCTGACCTGCGATTCTTCACACAGCAGCAAGGGTAGACTACTGAGGTTCTCTTCTGCAAAAATGAGGGGCATGCCTGCCAAGTGACAGAATTCGAGGTCCGCAGAGGGAGGCTGCGTCGTCAGTGCCATTCAACGTCAGCTGTATTGCTCCGTAGTGATTTGAAAGCAATGAAATTTGAATCTGTGGCTTGCCACAAGCGTTTACAACCTTTCGGAATGAAATCTAAACTCATAGCGTGGTGCCTGCTTTATGGGCAAGAAATATTTTTCTGTAAGATATCAGGAAAGCGCCCTTCCAGGTCCGAAGATTTCGTCGTAGAGAAATAATTCTAAGATTTTCTTTTTTTGGCCGTCGCAGACAATAGCCGATGATGATTCAGCACCGGAAATAGCAATCACTGCGAGCAGTGCAGTCTGTACATTGCTTTTCCCTTTTACCTTCGTTTAGGACCCTCATTTTCTTCTATTCGTCCTCGTTTTCCGTGCTGGTTCTCGGTGTACCAGGGCGAGTACATACGCAGGTATTGCTGACTCTAAATTCGCGTCAAACCTTAGCAAATTGCCGCACGGAGGCTACCATATGTCTTTCCTCCGGCGTTCTAATCAGCAAGAATCCGAATACGACGAAGAAAACGACGAGACTATTGATCCAGAACTACGCCTTCGAACCTTCCGGACTGCAGCGTCGGCAATAGCAGAGTCGATACGGTCGGAACAGAGAGCTGAGAAGAGGAGGAAGAGGAAACGGTCCAGGTTCTTTCGGAAGACTGCTGAGAAGAAAAAGCCTGAGCCGACATCTGTCGACGTCGCGCCTTCAACAGAGGTACTCGGCGAGCGGAGGAATGTCTATGTAAATTATCCTTTGGGAGTGCTGGAAGTCGATGTTCGCGGGGAACCTATTGCTCGCTATGAGAGAAACAAGGTCCGAACTACCAGTGAGTGTTAGAATTATCCTTCTTTCTCGTTCTTTCTCTAATCTCATGCCGACGTGTAGAATATACCATTCTAACTTTTATTCCCAAGAATCTATACGAGCAATTTAGGCGGTGTGTTATTGTACTTTCTATGCCTCTTTATCGCGTTTACCTGTTCATTCAGGGTAGCAAACCTATTTTTCCTTACCCTTGTCGTGCTTCAACGTGAGCGCTCACGTTCGCTTTTTTTATGCTCGATACCTCTAACGATGCTCCGCAGTTTTCTCTGTGTTTGACGCAGCATCGGGCGCCATCTCGGTCCTACCCCTTGCATTTATTCTCACCGTCACCGCCATTAAGGATGCTGTCGAAGACTATCGCCGTGCAACTCTCGATGAAGAGGTGAACACGTCGGCGGCAACAAAATTAGGCTCGTGGCGTAATGTCAACCAACCGACAGACCCCCGGCCCTGGTTCGAAAAGATGCTGGGTATCAATCCACCGGGGAAGGTTACTAAAGGCGTACGCAAACTTCGTGACCGAGAGGCTAACGAGGCTGGCCATGGCGTTCGTGTCATGCTCAGCAAAACCAGCGATACCTCCACCGTCCTTTCGCATGATGATCCGTCCACCACGAGTTTTGATCTTGATCATGCACGCTCAAGTTCTGGTCGGCAGTTGGATGATATCCAGAGCGTCGATTCCCATAGTTACCCTCCGGACGCATCATCGCTTTCTGATACATCAACGCAGCGTAATTCTACCACGGAATTCCGGCAATTCAAGCAGCATGATGGCTCCCAATCTACGCTAGGCGTAATTGATTGGAAGCGGCGAACTGGAGGTTCTGCCCGGTGGGAGAGGACGTTATGGAAGAAGCTGGAAGTTGGAGACATTGTTCTTCTACGGGAGAACGACCAGGTTCCTGCTGACATTGTCGTTCTCTCGACATCAGATCCTGATGGCATGTGTTATTTGGAGACAAAGAACTTGGACGGTGAAACTAATCTAAAGCCTCGGAAATCCATCAAAGCCACTTCGTCCATTGCCTCTGAAGACGATATCGAGCGGTCGTCATTTTGTCTTGACTCAGAACCACCACACCAGAACCTCTATCTTTACCATGGTGTTCTTCGCTACAAGGATACTCTCACGGGCGAAAAGAGGCAAGAGCCGGTCACGATCAATGAAATGATCCTTCGTGGATGTGCAATCCGTAATACGACTTGGATCATTGGGCTAGTCATTTTTACAGGCGCAGATACCAAGATCATGTTGAACGGAGGCGCTACGCCGTCGAAACGTTCTAAAATAGAGAAGGAGACCAATTTTAACGTTATCGTCAACTTCGGTGTTCTGGTATTCATGTGCACCATTGCGGCTATTTTCAATGGTGTACAGGATGCGCAAACAGGCACCAGCGCAGAGTTTTTCGAAATTGATTCGGAGGCGACAGACTCGTCAATCTTGAACGCCATAATAACATTTGTGTATGTATTCATCCTTTTCTTTCGTAGATAGCTGCTCATTATGCCCCATGAAGGTCATGTCTCATCGCTTTCCAAAACATTGTACCTATATCATTGTACATTTCTATCGAAATCGTCAAGACTATACAGGCCTACTTCATTTCCCAGGACGTGGATATGTACTACCAACCTTACGACACACCTTGCGTTCCTAAAACATGGAACATCTCCGATGACTTGGGGCAGATCGAGTACGTGTTTTCCGACAAGACCGGTACGCTCACGCAAAACGTCATGGAATTCCAGAAGTGCTCGGTCCATGGTATCGCATATGGAGAAGGTGTGACGGAGGCGCAGCGTGGTGCTGCAACCCGAGAAGGCAATGCAGACTCTCTTGATCCCCGTGACTTGACGGAGAAACTCGCAGCGCTCAAGCAGCAAATGCTGAGTGTTATGGAACGCACCTTTAAGAACCGGTACCTCCAACCGGACAAGCTGACTCTGGTGTCACCTAAACTCGCGCAGAATTTGGCGGACCGTTCGTCTGAACAACGGGGTCACATCATCGCCTTCTTCCGAGCGCTCGCTTTGTGTCACACAGTCCTTTCCGACAAACCCGAGCCCCAGGAGTTACCGTATCACTTGGATTACAAGGCTGAATCGCCGGACGAGGCCGCGTTGGTGGCTGCCGCGCGCGACGTTGGGTTCCCCTTTGTCAAGAAATCGAAGGATACTTTTGACATAGAAGTCATGGGCCAGTCGGAGAAGTACACGCTTTTAAAGGTCCTCGAGTTCAACAGCACGAGGAAACGAATGAGTACGGTTTTCCGATGTCCAGATGGACGATTGATCCTTTAATGCAAGAGGGCGGATAGTGTTATTTACGCACGCCTTGCACAAGACCATGACCCCGTGCTGAAGGAACAGACGAGCAAGGACATGGAGATGTTTGCTAACAATGGACTCCGGACGTTGTGTATCACATACCGCTGGCTCACCGAGGAGGAGTATTTGACATGGTCTAGAACGTATGACGTTGCCACTAATGCCATTGAAAACCGGGACGAGGAGATTGATAAAGCGAACGAACTTATCGAGCACTCGCTGCAAATACTTGGAGCTACCGCTCTGGAAGATAAGTTACAAGAAGGTGTCCCAGAGGCCATCGAGACCTTGCATCGCGCCGGGATCAAGCTGTGGATTTTGACAGGTAAGGTCGCGTCCTCATCGATGGCAGTTTTTCCTGAAAATCTAATATCCTTAGGGGACAAACTTCAGACCGCGATTGAAATCGGTTATAGTTGCAATCTCCTCAAAAATGACATGGACCTGATGATTCTTTCTGCCGATTCACACGAACAGGCGCGCTCGCAGATAGAGGCTGGTCTCAATAAAATAGCATCTGTTTTAGGTCCGCCATCATTTGATCCTCGGAAGCGGGGTTTCTTTCCTGGGTCGAAGGCATCGTTTGCTGTCGTGATCGACGGGGACACTCTTCGATACGCGCTAACTCCGGAGCTTAAGCCTTTGTTCCTTAACCTCGGTACACAGTGTGAAACTGTTGTTTGCTGTCGTGTTTCTCCTGCGCAGAAGGCGTTGACCGTAAAACTGGTGCGCACGACATTTATGTTCCTTTTTGACGTTTGAATAGTCTTACCGTGGATCCCAGGTCAAAGAAGGACGCAATGCTATGACGCTATCCATCGGTGATGGTGCTAACGATGTTGCCATGATTCAAGAAGCGAATATTGGTTGCGGACTGTTCGGTCTAGAGGGTTCTCAGGCAGCTATGTCGGCCGACTATGCTTTTGGGCAGTTCCGATTTTTGACGAAGCTGTTGATTGTTCATGGTCGTTGGTCGTATCAGCGCGTGGCAGACATGCACAGCAACTTTTTTTACAAGGTACGGAAGCCCCTGCCGGTTGGAGGAACTGAAAGCTCTAACGCATGCAATCCAGAACGTCATCTGGACCTTTGCTCTGTTTTGGTATCTGCCCTTCAATAAGTGAGCCCCTGCACCGTATCCTTTGACGTGCGCTAAGCAACCCTTTTAGTTTCTATGGGACATATCTGTATCAGTACACGTTTATCTTGCTCTACAATCTTGTATTCACATCGCTTCCCGTTATTATCCTTGGAGGTACGATCATGAATCCACAACTCACATGTGCTTCATTGACAATGATATTTTTTAGCATTCGACCAGGACATCAACGCCCAGGCTGCACTCGCTTTCCCGCAGCTCTATGTTCGGGGAATCCGCGGCTTGGAGTACACCCGGGCCAAATTCTGGATCTACATGTTAGATGGTTTGTATCAATCTGCGGTTGTGTTCTTCATGGCGTACTTGGTTTGGACGCTTGGTCTCTCGGTGTCGTGGAGCGGGAAAGACATGGAATCTTTGGCCGACTTTGGAACAACTGTTGCCGTCTCCGCCATTTTCTCTGCGAATACCTATGTCGGAATGAACACTCACTAGTATGACATTCTTTTGTGAACGAGAACTCTGTCACTAACGTTCGCGGACAGCTGGACCGTCATAACATGGGTTGTAGTCTTTGGGTCTAGCATTGTCATGCTGCTGTGGATCATAGTGTATTCTTTCTTTTTCAGTTCCGACTTCATCAATGAGATGCAGATCTTGTTCGGTGGCGTACCTTTCTGGGCGACGGTTGTTTTTTCCACCGTTGTTGCCCTTGGTGTGTTTCTATTTCTTCGAAGATACTATTTCATTCACATCGTGTTACTATCCGTCAGGTCCCCGTTTCGTGTGCAAATTCTTCTCTTCTGCGTACCTTCCTTTGGATAAAGAAATTGTCCGTGAAATGTGGGTCAAAGGCGATCTCAAGGATCAGCTTGGGATCCGACATCGGAAAGCCAAGAACCGCAGGGCTGACACACTAGAAGCGGCGCCTATGTTTGGACATGGTCGTAGCCAGTCGGAGATGTCTCTTAGCAATACCCCATACGAGCCTGCACTGACTTCAAGTCCTGGCCCTAGCAATCAGCTTCGACGAACAGATCTAGGTACACCACCCCTCGAAGGCAATCTTACTCCCCGTGGTTTCAATCGGCGGAACGAAACACCAGCATCATACTATTCCGTTTCTGATATCCCTCTGCCCTCGCCACTACCATCACCCAAGTACCGTTATACTGATGGCTCGATCACGAGCACACCGCCCAGCAGGAGAACAAGCGTTGCCACAACCCATCGGGGCGCTCATACCTCTAGTCCACCACCTCTATCACCACCCACCATCAATGTTCCTGCCACCCACGGACGATCAATGCCGTACGATGCTGGAGACGCCTATGAAATGGATGTACGGAATCCACCGTCTGTATCAAGTCATAGTCATCACCATATCGACCGGTCACCAGCGAGTGAAGCGTCGTTTGCTACCGCATATGACGACTTCCACGCTTCGGATGAGACTATGGTAGGCAGCCCTCCTACATCCTCTTCCGGCCATCTCGCTCCTGGTCCACGATCAGGTGAAGGAGGGTATTATTCTGGGCAGTACCTGCAGTCCCCTACGTTCCAGCTACAGCAACAAGAGCAACCATCTGATCCGGACTATGATGACCGACGTGCTAGTGCTATATCTTGGCAGGGTGGCCGAGCACTATAGGATTTCTTGCTATATGGCTAGAGGTACCTTCAGCAGGGTACTTACTCTATACATACTTACATTATCTCATCTTGTGTCTTGTTCATTTTTTCCCTCCCATAGCAATCCTTTCATGTGAAATTTGGACTTTTGTTATATACTCTAATTACCTCTAACAATGATCATGGTGCAACCACCTAGAATATTATTATTTCTAACTGCGCTCCGTGAAGCATGGGACAACTATGTGGCTGTGCGGCGGACATATCTCTCTACCTTACCCGACGACCATGGTCTCGTCCTGAACAGTTTATTTTCTTCCAAGACAGCCTTCGTATCATACTTCGTGCCATGGAAGGTGCCAGTAGCTCCAACTTTTATTCTGGAGGTCATCGAGGGAACGGGTGAGTACATATCTCTCTATCAAAAATGCCGCGTCGAACGTGTCTTTTATAGTGGCGTCGTCCAGGAATTCGTCAATGAAACGTTTGCCGCCAGCAATGAATCGTCTACGAGGTCCGACCTTCTATCGTCCCCATCACAAGAGACGGGTGCCGTTCAGCGCCCTAAGCGACGACGAAACGGACCGTCGGAACGATTCCGTAGAGAGCGCGAGCTAATACATGGCCAAGCATCTCACAAGCAGCTGCTACGTCTTGTAATCGATCAAGAGTACGAGGCAAATAAAATGCGCAAGGCGATGATCGTTGTGCTGGAGCGACTCGAACACGAGACGCAACGTGCTACGGCCGCTGAGGACTTTTCGGCCCAACTCGTGCAGCGATTCCAGTTGTTGAATGAAGGTCGATTGAAGATGCATGAGGAACTCATCGAGGCCAAGAAACAGCTGGAAATGTACCGTGTCCAGTATAACCACGCTCGGTCGGAGATTGTGAGGGGAGAAGACGTGTTAGCGACCGTGTCCGACCAGCTGCAGAGTGCAGAGAGAGACGCTGTACGTGCACGGTCGCAAGCCCACAAGACGGAACAGAAGCGTGCCGTGCTTGAAGCCTTGATAGAGGGCAGGCGAATGGGAATGTTGTCTGGATACGCCCAAGCTCAGCGGGAGATCGGGGAGTTCAGGTCACCCCAGATTGCGGCCACTGAAGAATACGAAGAAGAAGAAGAAGAAGGGGAAGAAGAAGGGGAAGATCTTGATGAGGAGGAAGAGTACGAGGAACCACCACGACCAGTACCGAGGACCGATACCACGGAATCGTACTATTTCCCGCCGCCACCGCATGCCGCGCCTCCAACGGTTCCTTCTGCTCATACATTATCTCCAACCGAGACAGAAGAGCCACTCCCGCCTCGTTCGCCTTCTGTCCATGAATTCCACGTCGAAGTTCCTCCTGCAGAATATCCACAATCTTTCCATCATCCTCAGTATGCTACTGCTCCTGATAACTTTATACCAACATTAGACGCGAGCGGTGCAATCAGTATGCCTCCGCCGCATGAGTGGAATAGCGCAATGCGAGCAGCGTCCCCACAACCTGAGGAGTCGGACAAGAAGGGCAAGGGTAAAGCGAAGAATAACGATGATTTCTCTGAATACAGCTATACAGCTCCGGGGCGGGCGACCTCTTTTAACGCATCGGTAGATACGCTGACTGGTCTAGGGATCTTGGAACCCGATGGTAGGGGCAAGTTCAGTAATCTGGACCCGATAAGAGAGAGCTCGGCGAGTGTCGATAATGTACCACTTCCCCCAGTGCAAGGACACCCGTCTTCTGTGCGATCTCAGCTGAAGAGCCCCAACATCGCCTCAGCTGGGAGCAGTTCTCCCGTGGGCATCAATGTCCAGACTCCGGTAAGGTTGATGGTCAACATTGTATTCGTTTTTCTAATTTTCATCGTAGTCTTCGCATACGCCCTCATCTGCAAAGAGATCGGCCAGCCGGAGACAGGAGAGCTTTTCTAGTGACAGACCACCGTCCCGACAACAGCCATTACCTCCTCATGACAAGGTCCAGCTTTCGACTAACCACGAATGGGATCAAACGGGGCCAAGCTGGGTCCCAGCAAGACCACCCTCTTCGCAATCCCACCGAGCACAAGGCCGACCTTCATCTGCAAATCATGCTAATTCTTCATGGCAGGCGCCACCATCCCGAGAACAAACGCCAGTTCCAGCCGAATCACCTCCCCTACCCAACCCTTTCCCTCCTCCTCGCGCGTCAAGTTCTCACTCCCGACATAAATCAACCGGGGCTCTTACTCCCGAAATGGTCTCCAATCCCTTGCCCTCTCGCGCACGCACGCCGAGCATGCGTTCCCAGAACCTCCTCACCCCCGAAATGGGCCTGAATCCCCTTCCTTCGCTCCGACACGTCCCCTCCAACCTCTCGCAACGCTCCCATGGCAAGTTTGAGCACTTTGACCAGCAAAACTACGTTGACCCTGCTATCATCGGGGGCGAGGAGAGTCAGGTAGACTTGCGGAGGATCCCGAGCAGGCCTACAAGCAGCGTGGGCTTTGGGCTGGCACGGACCAAATCGAGAGGGTCCACTGTTCGCGGAGAATAGCCGTATATGTCGATGTTACCGATATTTCTCTTCTTGATGCTCCATTTAGAATCAGCCACCTCCTTGTCGTACCTTCAATCAGTACTACTCACGCTCAAATGTCCCTACTAGGTACTATATCCATACGCTTCACCCCGTCTATATTTCACCATCTTCCTTCTGGAAGCTGCTTTATTATTCTACCGCCGATTTATACGCTCTGGAATGACGAAAAAAGGCGCAAAAACGAGAATCTCTGTATATTAGATGCGTGGTTGGCGTGTTGATGCCAGACACGCCACGTATCCCCTGAACTTATCGATGCAATAATTAATTACCGTCAGAACGGCACCAAAACCCATGATTGTGCCTTCCTTGGCTTGTCCGCAGTTCTACCTTCGTGCGTCTCTCTCGCTCTATCGCGTTGTGGGACAACGCCATACAGCCTCCGTTATTCACAACAAAATGTGTCGTGAAAAACCGGTGAGTAAAAATCTCTTGCACTGTTTCCGTAAAATGTAACGCATTGTCTTGGGTCTCAAAACATGTGGATGCTTTTCTTATGTACCCGAACCTGGGACACGGTGAAAGTAAGCAAAAAAAGTTTCAACGAATATTTTTCTGACGTTCTGATGTTGTAGTAGTATCGCATGAGTACTAAGTAATACCTTTTCCACTCCCTTCTGTACGCGCGGTGAAACTGGGAACGTAAGACTGAATTTTCGATTTGCAAATGGATTTACAGTGGCGGGGCACACTGGAGGTATTGCACAATCTTTTGAAATAGTTTCGGAATGGCGTCTTTCGGTATGAGGCCCAAGGTGACATGGGTGTACTGCACTCCCGGGCATGTTTTATATTAGCTCCGTGTCAATCAGATTGCAGACTTGGGGCGGCGGCTTCGAATTCATTTTCCGGACGATTACATATAATACATACAAACTAGAAAGAGTCAGTACGGGTTGCAAACACATAGAAAACTGTACTCGTAAGCCTTAAAACGGAGCTCATACTTGACCATTTTCTTCCGACATGCCATGGTCATTCCCATCCGGCTGATGTTTGATACAATTCTGAACTGAAGCGAAGAAAATTACTCTCTAGATCATTTAGTCTCTAATTTGACAACACTAAGGGGCAACATGGCCGAGTGGTTAAGGCGCTAGAATCAGGTCAGTCGATCATTATGTTATCTAGTCCGAAAGGGCGTGGGTTCGAGTCCCACTGTTGTCATGTTTTATTTTATATTATATGTGATCTTAACAGACGGCCGTTCATTGATCTCTCAGCCTGTAATTTACTGGGAAAATATATAGAGATCTATTTTTAATCGGTAACTATGATATGGAGCCCTGCACCAGGTACCACAGGGACAAGTTCTGCAAGTTTCTATAAAGTGGCTTGCCGGGCTAGATTTACCCAGCCGCTTTCACCCGGAAGTGAATAGCCGGCTGGTAAACGAGCCTAATATTAAACGTTTAAACAGTCCATCAAATTTCTGCTCAGCAGCTCCCGGCACCAGGTACAGCGGTGTGGCCCAAATTCCGTGGCCAATCGTAGTCTCCATGCGGCCGAAGAATATCATGCTCGAACGGCACAATCTTTTATACGACCGCGGCTGATGCGATTTTGAATGTTCAATGTTCAATCATTGCCGTAGTACTAGTTGATGGTAGTGATCTGGGACGTGACCTTCATCTAGTGACGCATCCAAATGTTGCCAACGCTTCAAACTCTAATTATTTACATGCAGATCAGAATCACAGGGACCTAATCAGACAGCTCTGACCTAAGAGAACATTAAAGAAGTGCTCCTACCATTGGGAGATTTCATTATCCAGCTAGTCGACCGGTGACCATATAGACCTGTTGATGGACAGGAAGGACGGTCTGCACTATTCTGCGTCGAGGCAGTTGATCGATCGAGGCAATTTTGATGCAACCTCGGGCCTCAAAGATCGTCAAATTCTCCTGATTCAACGAGGCATATCTCCCATATGACTCTAGTAAAGTTTCGATTGATGGCGCCTTTCTATGATACACGAGTTGCCCGTGAGTTCACGGCTCTCCTCTGCTGATGGTGGCTCAACCAGACCTGATCATCTAAAGAAACCCCAAGGACTAGGCCGTCCTGTTCATGTCCCGTTTACCCACCGGGGAATCGAGGAGGATACACCTTCCCACATGACCTCCTACTAACTGAATACTCTTCCACCGTTCTGACCGTAGATCAAAGATATCTTCCCATTAACACTGCATTCGTGAGAACTTGACTCCGCATCCGCTACTCAGCGTCCCCCATCTCCGGAACCCCAGGGAGTATCAGGACTATACATGGCACCTATAAGAGCACGACAACACTTCGGCGTTCACCCCAAGGCCGAAAAAGAATCGTTCCACCCTCATGTTGATGATGCATAGCCGTTCAAGGAGTCCTTCTCGTCGAAGAAGCAAGGTTTTCGGGTTTCATGTTCAGCGTATGACCCTGCAGAGAGAAGGATTGATTCGGAAGCATCTTTATATTGGCACGCGGAACCCGGCAACTGGAATCTGACACTCAGGACTGGGGGGAAAACATGCTTTTCGAAGACAGCGAGATCCGCGTCTCCCAATCAGAAGCAGAGAAGTCGTAGAGTCTATGAGCCGTGTTCCGACAGGACGCATGATCAGGCTGGTGGTACAAGTGTTGCAGATCCTACAGACCTATCTTACATGCGCGGTAATATACAGCAACGAAAGATGTCCCAACTGAGCTGTCTGAAATTGACTCAATCTCAACCCTGTAATGACGAATCAGTACGATATCAAAGGATGACAGTTATATCACGTACTCGACGGCGACTACGACTTTTGTATTTTGTCAGCCTTTGGAGGTAAAGAACAAAAAGGTACTTACGACTGAGAGTATAGATAAGTGTCCGAATAATCAGGCTCCGTGGGTTTAGGTGGTCGATCTGGCGCAGTAGACACAAAGAATGTCAGCGACCCTGACGGGTCGCCTTGCTGGAGACATATTTCAAACAGCATCGCGTCTGACAGAGCGCTACCAAGGGCATATGTGCCTACTTGGGCTTGGTAGACGCGAAACCGAGAATAACGATCATCCGGAATACATAACTGCAAAGCAAAGGGCCGGGTTGTTAATTTTATTCAAATAAAACCTTCATGGCTAAAATGACCTTTGACAAGACACGTTCCCGGATAAACGACCCATTGGTCGCACCAGTGATGTCGACCACCTGGTACCGCTCCGCGTTGCAGGTGACAATAATCCGCACTGTCGGTAAGCAGAAAGACCTGGGTGGAGTAGGTGAGGCACTGAATAGAGTGGACAGAGACGCTTACATCGTTGTCGAGCCGTGCACAACCGCAGTCGGTGGTGGAGGTGGAGAAGGTGATGATGAACCTGGTCGCCTCTTATGTGCCAGGAGCACATCAATTCGCCAGTGATGTAAAGCGAAAGGGTAAATACTGTAAGGCAACAGATGATCGAAGATTGATCTGTCGAATCGGAGAACAGAGAATTCCTGGAGGTAATGAACACACCTTGTCAACGTTGGCGAGGTGTCAACCCCCTTGATTGAAAGACAACGCTCTCGACGATGACCAAGCCGATAACCATTCAACGGAGAGTTTCGGATGTGAAGGTCAAACGGTATAGACCAAAAAAAATCCTTTGTAAAATCCTTGAGAGCCGGAGGACCCACCAGAGGGCCTGGGACTCACAGCACAGCGAGGAAGTAGGTGATGCCTTATGCAGAAGGATGAAACGCAAAGGAGGAAACCCTTGGGAGAGGTTGCCACGTATATCCCGAAGGGGGGGTGATGGCACCACCAATGCAGGAGTGGTATATCCCAAACTCGGCTGTTCCGTGATGGCAACTGTTCTGGCTGCCAAAAATAATTCCAAAGCAAAAAAAGTCGAAGTGAAGTCGTCTTGAACGTCGCTCGAAGAATGTCGCGCAGCGGCCTAACGACGGCTTCCGCAAGTGCTAAACACTGGCTGAGGGTCCGGATATATATAATTTGTGCTTGATGTCAAATTTGGCACCCCAGGTTCGAGCCTACGCATGTCGTTGGACTGGGATGCAGCGCCCGCAGACAATATTCAAGTTCTTCGATGCAAATGACCGCATGAATTCCAGGGGAAGCCTCTTTGCAAGTGAATATGCGGCCAGTAAGAGCGACAAAACGGGTTTCAAGGAAGACCGGAAAAAATGAGACTTTCTGACGCTTCACAGCGCCCAGGTGGACCTCCGAGTCAGCGTTGGCAGCGCATCATTAACACTGAAGAATTGCGCCGCTGTCATAGAAAAGAGTCATGGTGACTGAAGATTCTACAATTTTTTCGAACAAGATGAGTTTCCCGCCGTCCGACTCGAAAACTTGAAACACTTGAAGGGAAAGATGCTGTAAGAGAGGAAAATCCATGACAAAAGCTTCGTTTGTCTAGCAGCCTTATCTGAAAATGATGGCCGAGATTGCCGAGTGGTTATCAGATCAGCCGCTCTAGAATCAATACCCCCTGATGAGCAGCGTTAACGCGTCAAAATTTTAGCATTGCTACTAGAAACTTACTGTGCATGGTATTCCAAGAACATTTATTTAAACTTATTAATTTTCCGGCTTACTTAGTCAGGCATCACGTGATCGGGCCGGTTTTAATACTATTTATTATTATTATTAATAGTGAAGTTTCTTCTCCCATACTTATCATCTGGTCAATCATGGCACCCACAATCAAGGTCGGCGATACGATACCTGAAACAACATTCACCTACATTGCATATACACCCGAGCTAGAAGCCAAGGTATGTCGCGTTGATATTGTGGAAATCACCCCATTGATCAGATTGTCAGCTTGCTTGTGGTATTCGTAAGTGCCAAAAGAGGCTGATTGAATCTCATAATAATGGGGATATGTCATAGCCACGAAGCTTAACACTAACTCGTGGAAGGGAAAGAAGATCGTACTTTTTTCTGTTCCAGGAGCCTTCACTGTGCGCTATTTGCTTCCGAATTAAGTACACTGCTGACATTTCGAATCAGCCTACCTGCCATGTGAATCACCTTCCCCCCTACATCGAGAAGTACGATGAGTTCAAGGCGAAAGGTGTTGATGCTATCGCCGTAGTTGCTGCGAATGACGCTTTCGTTCTGAGCGGATGGGGAAGATTCGAAGGCGTTCAAGACAAAGTACTGTTGCTTCGAACTTCTACGTTTCTGACAGTCAAACTAAAGATCTCTTATAGTTTCTAATGCTTTCTGACACAGATGCTAAATGGTCTGAAAGCATGGGACTTTCTGTGGATCTCTCCGCTGTTGGCTTTGGTACTCGTACAGCCCGCTACGCTATGATCATCGACGATCTCGTGGTGAAATATGTAGAGGTACGATACGCAAGTGTAGCCGTTTTTACTCGCTGACGTTATGTGTATAGCTTGAACCTGCTAAGGGAGTCACCGTTTCTGGAGCGGATGCTGTTCTGTCCAAACTCTGAACCGTAAGAGCCAGAAATGTGTAATACCATTTTGTATCGTCAACATAAGACGCGTTCTTCTATGCACGTCTTGACCCCCCGTCCATAAAAGAATTTAGCTGGGAATAAGGACAGAAACGGCCAAGAGCATGAAAGTTCAATGATTGAGTTGGTCAGGTCAAGCAACGGGCAGAACAGATGCAGCCACACAATCGACGGTATGTGTAAGATCTTATCAGGACTTTGGTCATTAAACCTCTTTTACACATAGAAGCACTTGGATCAGCAGGGTCTGGATATCGATTTTAGGCGCGGGTGGGGCCTTCGTTGGCTGCGGAGTCAAAAATAACGTCTTCCGCTGACTAACGTCTCCGGAGGTATACAAGGTCGACATTCAGGTTCCAACGTTACCGGAAAGCTTATTATATAAAGACAATGTCAAGTAATTTTCCACTGCCTCGTTTTTTCTTTGCACGTCTAGAAAAGTTGAAGCTACTAATGCGCAGTATTCCACGAAGTTTACGAGAACAAGGCCCTCCTATGAAATGAAGTGAACAGCAATCAACAGTAAAGAGAAGGCGTTACTTGGTCTTGTGCACTATTAGTGGAATGGGGCGGAGACTAATTACCAAGTACCACAGTGGTCGGAAATAGGTGGGTCGGTGGCAGTCCGCCCGAAATTCCGCATTTTGGTCACGGTGACCCACGCATGACGCTTTTTTCTACTAGAGCACGACGGACATTCAACCTTATTCGCAGCAGCAAGGTGCTCATGATGTATCTAAATTCTTCTGCTTGCTACTGTCAATCTGATATTTTTTCAGGACTCTGCACGTAGTTACTCTATTTCTCACTGGCATGATATGGCATGTACACTGGCAAGCGACGTGTTCTTCTCCTTTGTTCCAATGTGCATACGCAACCCTCAAATCCGTGCGGCATTAGTATTTGGTCTTCTGTGGTGACGGGTAATACGAGAACCTTTGTCGGCCCTTCAATTAGACATCTTTTTCGGTTTGCTTCTGTCCAATGTGCTTTTGGCTGTCGCTCCTGACAGAAGTCAGCCTCCTCAGCAGAGGGAACTACTAATTTGGTTGCTAGCAAGGGTTGTGTTTTGGGCTTGTTCTGATCTCCTGCTCTAGGCGTTGGCAAGGCTATGTCGTTTTAATATAGCAATTGACGAGACCCGATGACTTGCAAGTTACCTTCACTTCCAGTCATATTCTCACTAACTCTTGCATATAATTTTCTATACGATGGCTCGTTTACGCTATTTGCCTGCCTCCGTGAGTCTAATCTGTTCGATCTAGCTCTCCTCGTTTGTGTTTAATCGATAATCTTCACAGGGCATGTCTTCATCCACAGACCATATGAGTCCAATAGAATTGAGTACCCAATGGCCGCCTAGCACTCTGGAATTGATAAGAGTTTTGTTTGGCAAAGATGAACGTTCAACAGCCAAACCAGCGGTGGATTCCGTGACTATGCCTCTTTAACACGTCTTCGCACAGGTTTCGTATCTGTAAGCGGCTCCGACTATTGTTAGTTCTTGTCAGTTCTTGTCTTCTCACGGACCGCCTTGTAAGGTGCCATCACCAGGTGATCCCAAATTCAACACATGACCTGCGGAATTGGCGACGCGCCAATCTTATGTACGGTCACCACCTCTATGGCGCCGAGGTCACTGGGTGCCCACCAGCACCCACAAGTTGTGCCGAGATCCGCAAGTTCCTGAGAAAGTTAGGACAGTCTCGTTTGTTCTCCAGTGCATCGACCAACTAGTTCAGTCATCTGCTTTATTACCTACTCGACTCCTAGAAGACGGGTTCAACTCGGCGCAGCACCCATCTTAAACTTCTATCTATCATCCTTCGAAATATATTTGGAACTCGTCCGCTCAATGACGTTTGTTCCATGCCGGACCCCAGTTTCTTCATTCATTTCGTCGTTATCTACACTGCTAGGAGAACTGTACTAACATTTACGGAAGGCGTCGTAATGTGTCATAACAAATATAGTTTCTCGCAGGACTCAAGTTGCTTGGACGGATAATTCAACGTTGCACATATGAAGGACAGCGTTTGCTCCCTTCTCGTACAGGGTCCGACAACTACAGAAAAAGGCATCGTCGACCGGTAGTCTGGTGAATTGCATGTCTTCTTTTTACGTCGAGGGCCAGGTTGATCAATGTTAACGTTGCAGATAACAATCGATGCACATACAGATACCATCGTTAAGAAAATATTCGTCTTCCCCTTGACTGCGCAAAGGGACAATAGAAGATGTGTAAGCGTGTCGCAAGGGACACCAATGAATGTTGTTAGGCAGCGGATGAGGGCTTTGTCCATATCCTACCCTTCATACATAATACATAAGTGGCTATGCCAATTGGCAAGACAACGCTACTCGCACGCGCGGACCCGTCGAAGCGCAGCACTTAGCCTTACTAAAATGGTTAGTACACCTTCATTTCGCAAACATAACGCCACTGACATAACCTCATTTCCACAATTGTCCTTAGATTCTTATTACTTGGTGTTGTCTGCGATCTACTTGTAATCTTTTGGCCATCAAATGAGTACGAGATCATAGGAAGAACCGTCTCTCAGAGTGTTTAGTTGCGGCGTCATTATGGGATACTGAATCTCTAAATAGGCATTGTACCGACACGCCGCCACGCAGTTTGAAGAGACAGTCTCGAACCGATGCCATGTCTACTGTCGCAGAAGCCATGTCAATGTCAGAAAGCGCAGTATTTCTACATCCGCGGGCCTTTACTGATGAACTGTATTAGGGAGAATATCTCACATGTTCACTTGAACCTGTACGGTAGCCAGTTGGTAGAGAGTTCCTCTATCAGGTTCACGCGTGACCCAAACATCTCCATTTGATGATATTCTTACATGCATGTGGATCCTTTCGGGTAGAGGCCGCCACCAAAAAATCCGTCTCGCTCCCTTCAGGTCAACAATTTGAACTAGTGCAGCGGAATGGCGGTTGCAATATGCATTTTTTCTTTCTTACAATACCGATGGACACCCGCCAGACAACCACATGTGCAAGAAATACCGATCACTGAAAATCCGAACATACGACGGACGGCCGTGGGTACGCCGAACCTTGATATGGCATAGATACTGATCATATCACCTGCGTTGCAATGCAGTAGCCGTACTCTGTGCTTCGATCTCCATCGGCACCGAGCCGCCCCAGAGCTGGTATAACCGAAGTCGTCGATGCCAGACTCGTCAAACATGAAGTCCTCGCGTACATCCTGTAAAGATTCGCCGGGAGGATGTACCAATCAGTTCCTGGCCAGGTTATTTACAACGATCAATATTGATCTTTTTCCGTCCATACTCACTTGTGTTCCGTAAGGGCCAACCGGTTTCCAGAAAGTCGAGGACGATTCAAACAATATACACCGTTGGCGACGTTTCTTTGTCCATTATCTATCAGGATTTAATTAACTCCATCACGATAGACTTGCAGAAGTGACAATTGCACATTGCACCACTTTTGTGCTGTGTGGCTGGGAGTATCACGGGTAGTGCACTGTGAGTAAAAAATTCCTGGAAAGGCCATGTGGCGTTTAATTGGGTTTGCGAATAGGGCGACACCCGAGCAACAAGATACCATCACTCAGATCGATCCATGTTGGTCGAATGCCCGCTCGTGTTTCTCCTATAGCTTCTATAGACTCGGTATGACTTGTGGGGGTCCGTGATTTGTCTTTCACTTCATTATGTTATTCATGAACCTGAGGCACCTTTCCAGATCAGGTCTGCGTGCGAGGTATCCATCGTGTATGTCCCGGTGCTTCACCGAGGGCATGCGAAAAAAAGCGTCGGTTTGGTTATTTTTACTATATGGAAGAGAGTGGTTTTTCCGCTTCTAGGTTCCTTTCCGGTTTAACCTTGGAAGCGACATATCTGGAAGTCTACCAGGCCGGAGTCAACTCTTTGGCTCCCCTTGTGGGTTATGGTGATGGCGTATCGGTGTCGCTTCCAAGAGTTTAGGTCAGCGATAAGCCATATGTTTAAATGCGCAAGTTCTGCGTTATGTCCCCCAAAGAGTTTACTCCCTCCTCCAGTCTTCTTACCATGGACGCTGTCTCTGCTACTTCTGTCGCCGTTTCCAAGAGGGCCTCTGGAGAAGAAGACAACATATGGCGAGCCTACTACGCTGATGAGTACCCTCATCAGTTGTGGTGGTTGGTGTCATGCTTCATTGCATTTGTCGCCGTTTGCCAATTCGCATCCTTCGTCGTCGGGAAGTACCAAGCTCGTTCCAAGAACTCACCCGTCGCGACGGAGAGCAACAAGATCCAGTTTAGTAGGTTGCCCCTGGCTTTGGTCAACTACTGGCGCGTCCTTTCATTCCGGGTTACTATTGGCGTTGGATCCTATACGTTGAACCTGGCCGAGGTTTTCCTCACTTGCGCTTATATCGTCGCGCTTTTCACTTGGGAGTTCATTAACAGTACGATACCTTCCTTTCTCGTTCATCGGACGGCACCTTACACTTGCCTTGCTCTTTCAATAGGCACCTCTGTTGCTGGAGTTAAATTCAGTTCCGTCTACCTCGCTGGCCGCGCCGGGAGTATTGCTACATGCCAGTTCCCACTGGTGACTGCCCTTGGAACGAAGAACAATGTTGTATCATGTACGTGTCCTTACTCCGACAACTATTGGCCAGGATAGAATTCGTTGCTCATGTCTCAACGTAGTAATTACGGGCGTCAGTTACGACAAGGTTTGAGTCATTGCTACCTCCACTAATATCCGTGCTGATTATCCTGTAGCTCAACTATATTCATCGCATGACAGCCCGCGTCTGCTTCTTAATGCTTTGGATTCATGGGGGTTACAAGGTTTGTGTCGTCATGTATATTTGGAGCACATTGCTGATATTTGCTTTATACAGTTTCAACGGTCAGTCGTTGTCATGACCCCTTTCAGCCATATAACTGACTATTGTAGTGTGGAGGGAAAGTATGAAATCCTTTGGGTCCGAATGGCATTGGTGGCCATGACCGCCTTCTCTCTTTTGATCCTAGTGTCTTTACGACCTGTTAGGGCAGGAGCATATGAGTTTTTCTTTTACGCTCATTTCCTTATGGTATTGTAAGGGCCCGCTTCCTTTCCGGTGTTTTGCCATGCTAACGTTGTCGCCACCTAGGATCTTCCTCATTGGAGGATACTACCACACCAAGAATTTCGAGTAGGTTCTTCTGTTCCCGATGTTGCTGGTCAACGTTATTAATTGACTCATAAAAGATACGATCCCTATATCTGGGCTTCCTTCGTCATCTGGGGCCTTGATCGCGCCATACGAATGATCCGGGTTGTAGTTTTCAACCACTCCTACTTTGGGCTCAAGACTGGACACGGTACTTTTGATGCCAGCGTGGAGCGTCTGTCCGAGCACTTTGTCCGTTTGACTCTGAAGCGCCCCCCTCACTTCCACTGGCGTCCTGGCCAAACCGCCTATCTCATCACGCCAGGAGTTTCTCGTCTGCCATTCGAAGCCCATCCTTTCACTATCGCTAGCTACGATTCTAGCTATGACCCCACGGAGAAATCCGCTGATGTCGAAAAAGCGTCCAGTTCCGTCCTTGCCAAATCATCCTCCAAGTCCTTCACCTCTGGAGGAGAGAAGTACTGGAAAGAGCTAGTGTTCCTGGTGAATGTTCGGGAAGGCTTTACCCACCGATTGGCCACCATTGGAACAGACAAGGGGACGGTGAAAGTTTTTGTTGATGGACCATATGGACCATCGCCGGATCTCAGCTCATTCCATACCTCTGTTTTCGTCGCTGGTAGGTGTATTTAGTTCCAATTGTATATCTTCTTACGACTCGCTGTTTCAAGGTGGCACTGGGGTGTCATACACACTTCCGTTACTACTGGACGCCATAGAGTAAGCGTCGTAATGGGTTCTCAGGATCGGACTAATCATTCCACATTAGGCGTGTCCGTGAGGGAAAGAGCACATGCACCAAAGCGGTATTTATCTGGGCTATCAGAGACACGAGTGCGTTCGTTTCCATGAGCTTAATCCACGTTTTTCCAATTTTCATTTAGCCCATGTGTGCTGGATATCAAATGCGATTTCTAACGCGTTACTTCGGGTACCGCTGTCGATGAATGTGGATATACGCATCTACGTCACTGGTGGTGCTCCCGAGTCTGTTCAGTGGGACACTACATCCGTCGACTCTGATTCTGCGTCACGTAATGAGCAACCGTCATTCCTTGGCTTTGACTCGGTGAACGTCTATCAAGGGCGCCCAGATCTTTCGCAGCTGCTACCCGAACAAGCAGAGGCTACCCGGGGCGGTCGCATGTCTGTTACGGGTGCGTTTGCATTCTCTAGCTCTGCGGCTCTGTACTAAGAATATATTCAGTATGCGGCTCAAGGGCTGTTGCCCAATCATGCAGATCGGCTCTTCAATTCCCCCTACGCAATGCAGCTACGGTTCTGAGAGGCGGCGCAAGTGTGACGCTGCATGTGGAGTCTTTTGGTTACGCTTAAAAGGTGTGATAGATTCAGGGTATTGATAGATTCCTTCTTCTAATCGTCGATAGATTGTACAATTAGTTATAGACGACTGGCATCGCTTTGTAGTTCCCTTATCATTTAGCAATATATCAGTTCGGAAATGTGCACACCTCCGTCCCCTTCGGTGCGGAACAACTTAGTAACTGCGTTGCCAAGAGCAGAATCTCTTTGCATTCACGGTCTAGGCTCGAGTAAGGTTCATGTGTGGTGACGATCACTGCGGCAATCAATAGGATTTGCAAACGAACAAGGTACGTATAATAATAATGCTAGAATATCAGAACCATGCCTCGCTCACACGGTCGTCACATCTGAATCCGGATTCTCATTATCTCCAGGAATACCCCGGTGTTGCCTCCCGTCTTAAAAGACCTTTCTTTTACCAAATTCGTTCTCCAATGAAATAGACGCAAGACCCATAGCGGAAATAGCCTCCCGTTGGAATCTCGCCGGGGTCGACAATCTGTTCGAGCGCCGCTTGCCGTACCTTGGTCTGGTATTGGTGACGAAACGAGCATCTATCTGCGTGTTGTCCACCCTGTCCTGAAGCTTCTGACTCTGTGTACGCGCGACACGCGTAGGAGTCGGTGGGGAGGCTCGCGGGACGTACTGCGAATAGATGCGTAGAGCGCGAGGAAGCGGAGTCGGTGTTGAAGGACCTCGAGTTTCGTGAGATACTCTGCACCTCTTGGAAGGTCTATCTTGATCCTCCTCGTCCTCTTCTTCCAGCCTCGTGAGCCTTGGCGTTCCTCGTGCGGAGAGGTGAGGTAAAGGGCTCTTGGGCGGGCTGCAGTTTCGTGCTCTTTCTTCGTCATCCTCCGTCCATGACCGCGTCCTCTTGGCTTTCGGGGCGGGGGGAGGAACATGTCTTCGTAGACCGACGATGACTTCGATGGAGTTCCGAATGAAACTGTCGGAACGATTAAGGCTTACGTCGATACGAAGCAGAGCGGGAAGTTTAGTGTTGAGCGTGGTAGCAACAAGAACCAGCTGGGAGTGCGACATGGTAAGAAGGTCTTCGTGACAACAGAAGGGAACGGAGTTAAGAGTAGTGATCACGATAGCATCTTCACAGGCGTCTTCATTCTGCAGAGCGATTATTCCTGGCGTTAGCAGAGAGTGTGGATGCCCAATTTCACGATGGGCGAGCGGTGTGTCGACGACAGGATCAAGTTCACTAGCATGATGCTCTTCAGAAGAGAATTTGAATAGATTTAGTCTGAGGAATAGTTTGCGAACAGGAGTGAAAGGATTAGAGAACATTCTGGTATGCTTCATAGTGGATGATGGTGGTTCGAAGTTGAAAATGAAAGAAGAACGATCACGAATTATCGATCGCAGCCCGATTACTAGCAGGCTGCCTTAATTCAGACTGTTTCCAAAAGAAGTCCACATAATGCTGGAAGCTAGCTTTTCATTGTCAAATTCCAAGGAATACACAACGAATTTTGTAAACACTTCCATTTGTTCGTGTCGGGCACTGAGGCACTTGGTCAATGCTTGAGCCTACTACTAACTGTCAGTCTCCAAGTATGAGGAAACTGGATAATAAACCAGCGTAATCCTAGAATACTGCCAGAACAGACCATAGTACGTCCAGGGTTACAATGCACCCCGATTCTGATTGGTGTAGCCTGGCGAATGTGATTGTATAACCACTTGGCCCAAACGTAACGTCCTGATGCAGCAGCCAGCAAGAAGCAGGAAACTGAGCTTCATCCCCCAAAGAGGGGGGGTCGTAAAATTCATGACTGGCGACAACATTTGTAAAAACCTCCAAGAATTCACGCCAATTCTTTGGATCCTGATGAAAAATTTATCAATAAAATATATTCGTTTCAATCAGCATAATCTCCCGCCTTGCTAGGTCAATCTGCACCCAGTTCAAGATACATTATGTCATAATGCAACCTCACTTAACCAATTCGTGAAATCCGTACCCGCAAAACCAAATGGCTGACGGTCATCCAACTGGCTCTCGACCCATCCCAACCATGGGGTCCATCGCGCGTCAACTGCAGAGAGAATTGTTGCTGCCTCAGCACCCCACTGCTTTCTGGCCCACCACGGGCTATCCTTCGCCGCCTGTTTCATCAAAACACAATAGTGCGCCAAGATGATGAGTGCACGGGGTTTCCCCTCAGCCAATAGGCGGAAGTACGTGTTAGGAGCCATTGTCCACCACAACAAAGCCAATGCCATCCAATTCTGAAATGAGGCTTTCCATGACATCTCGAGGATGCGTATCGACTCTCTATACGCAGCATACACGGATTCATCGTGTAGCTCCTCAGGGTCTGGCGCCGTGCTCAGAAGTGTCGGCAAGGATGATGAAAAGGGTTCTTCAAGAGGCGTAGATATCATTGTTGGTGCCATCATGGCTAACATCGGACGCAGAACGCCTTCTTGGAGCTCTGGCCAGATTTTCGCAACATCGCAGGTGATATTATGGACCGCGAGATGCCAGTTGGTCGCAGATAAGGAGATCATGGATGACGTAGCGAACTCATACATCACACCAAGAGCCAAGGTGATGAAGACAGCGCCCATATCCCCCTCCCCATCCATTTCAGCCCTGTGTAACCCCATTTTAGCCTGCCAGTGGTAGGTGCTCGCAGCTACGGCATACCGACTTGCAGTTGGATCAGCATGGTAAACATGAAGTGCCGATATCGCGAGGATAGCGTAGAGGAGAAATTGGTTTTTAGGATCGAACGCGAGTTTGGGAGCAATAGTTTTCCATGCATTTTCCGAGGCAGGATCAGGAGAAAGCGTATGCGAAGTAGTGGTAGCATAGTGGTGAATTAGTTCGAGGGTCAGTAGGTCGAACGAGCCAGTGCCAGTCGAGTTCGATATCGTGGAAGGGAGATTTTCAGATGAACTTGACGCAGCGTGGGTAAAAGTCCCTGGCTCTAGCAAATCATTTTGCGAAGTATTGCTCCAGGCGCACTCTATGCCTCTCCTCGTGCAGTTCTTGCACATAGGCAATTCCTCGTCGCACTTCATTTCAACGTCTAAGTCAGCTCTACAAAGGGCAGAAAGAGAGAGTACACACCTTGACTTTGCGTTTCTTGCATGTCTTGCATCCATTTCGTGTTTTGTGGTGTGGGCGAATTGGTGGCATATTAGCTGCCCATGCTCGTGGTCGCTAAACCGACGGCAACTGCTGCGACGGGAGTTTAAACTGAGTTCAAATTTGATCGGCATTTTCCATCGCTCATTTCCCTGTATGTCCGAAGTATGTCCACGAGAGAATTGGGGACATCTATGACCATCCTCATTTTGTGCCATCCACATCCCTTTTTTCGTAGCTATGGATGGCAAGGGGTTCCAGCCCGTTGCTCCGGAACATCGGGTCGATCGATCGATCGGCTTGCCATTATTTTTTCTACATGTCTTCAGAGGCCTTGGAAAAAATTAAAAATTAAAAAAAGCACAAATTTTTTGTGGCATCGTCAAGTCTCTTGACCGGAGCCTGTTTAACGCATAATCCAGCTTGCCGTGAACAGGACGGAGAATACACGGGACCGCTTGAACTTCCTTTGAGCCATCGAACGGTGAATTGCTTTTGATCCCTTGACCTGGCTTTGAATTTTCCTTCCAGTGTTGTCAGCTGTCGTGGTTCTGCACTATCAGATGCTTCAACCTTGGGATTCAAGTATGTACTAAAGTAAAAAAAAAAATGACGTTGTAATGATATAATACTACTATACAATTGCGTTCTATCTCTTCCTTCTAACATACCTTCCATCCCCACGCATAGTCTCTGCCTCGATCTCTCTCCTCTTCTTCTCATGCATCTCCTTCGCCCTCTCATTGATCCTCGTCATTTCCTGCGTATCCGGGAACCCAATGTCCCAGTACCCCGGCGGTGTCCCACCTTGCGCCCAATTATACCGATGCCTCGATATCCCCTTCTTCCTACGCACAGGAGAAGGCGTAGCATTCTTCTTTGGCGACCGCCACAGCGGCTGCTTGAGACGGTTCGGAAGGGGCCCGATAGCTTTGTAATACTACACGAGAAGTCAGAGCTCGTTCGAGAGGTAGGAGAAAAGACGAACCTCACGACAGCACTCGCAATCCCCCGCATGGAGTTTGCGCCGCTCGTCCTTCTTCCGGACGACAGCGTCAAATTGAAAGTCGAGTCCGTCATTACGCTTCGGATCGATGGCAAAGCTTTCGTTGATCGTCTTCTCTTTCGAATCTCTTGCGTATCGTCCTCGACCCTTGAACGCCGAATAATCGTTCGTCTGTCTGGCGTTAGACGCTGCGGATGCGGATGATGGTGCTTTCTCCTTCTCTTTGCCTTTTTCTGATGTACGTGCGAGAGCAGATGGCGGAGAGTGAGGGCTGTCATGTTCGTGACTGAGACGGCGGACTTTCTGTGGTGGTTCCAAGGCACTTTTCGGTTTCGTCGGAGCTAACAGAAAGATATCGTCAGCTTTGTCTGTGGAAACTCCGGTCTCCTCGGCGTACATTGCTTTAATGAGAGGATAGGCGCTGAGCGAGGATCGTGTCGCTGGCTATCTGGATTTGAGACCTTGGACGGCCGCATAGACCGTGACGTCAATGGGGCTAAAGACAAAGCTTTAGTGTCTTAGAAACGAATTGAATTAATGATCGTACCTCGACCTTGAGAGATGGACAAAGACATTTTAGACATCAGAGTAGGGCTCGATGTCCCAGCTAGTACAGGACCATTTGTTAGAGATGACAGGGCGAGAAGCGCAGAAAGCAAGAATACCAGGAGAGTCTTCTTCCGAGTCTGATGAATTTGGTACCAGAATGGAGCTGTTAGCCTTGGGGCTGAACAATCTAAGGGTCCAGTAAGCGCGACTGAAGGGATACGCGAATTGACATGACTTACAATGGTAGTTGAATCGTGGTCTTCGAAGGACCAGCTGCATTCACCGGGCTGATAAGAGAGATTGATGGAAGCGGCAGCGAGCTTGGAGTCCCAGGTCGCTTGGATGCATTTGGTGAGGAAATCGTCTTGACTAACCTGTGGTGACCGTTACAATGTATCAACAAGTCAACCAACAGGCGCATACATGGGTATCAGTGCTGGCGTGGATCCAGGTGGATTATCCTTGTTGCTCTCATACAAATTCTTGTCCTCGTATGGATACGAAGCTGCCTGACGATGAGCGAAGATATCCACATGAGTTGAAATCGTGCTCACAATCGTCCGCATAGAGCAACGGCCTTATCGTCTCTAACATCTTGCCATTCTCAGTTAACCGCGTAAAAATGTTCCTTCGGTACTCGTTCTCCTTGTCGGCCTCCATTTTGGACTTTGCCTTGCATTCTGTATCGAACAGAAACGCCTTGAAGTCGCGCCATTTGTTGTAGTCTCGTCTGTATATTGCAGCTGCGCGTTGCTTCTTGTCCAAGAGGTCATCATATCGCGACTGGAGAGCCTTAAGCTGGGATGCCAGTAGTCGTCTTGATGGCGAAGGAGATGTTGGAGGTTCCCTATTGGAAATATATGTTCTGTCTACAATTGTCAGATCGCTAAGATAAAACATACTGTTTTTTCCCCACTTCCAGTCGAAGCTGGTTTCTCTCCTTTACAGAATCATCCAGCTGAGCTTGTAGCTCGTCCCTTTCGTCTGTCGCACGACGGAGCGCCTTCTCTAGATCCTCAATCCGAGTCAAGGCATCCCTGTACTTCGTGCCGTGTTCAGCGTTGTCGACCACGAACAGGGCCTCCTGCAAGTCATTAAATCCAAGGACTTTGACTAGATGTCCAATTCTGTTCGTTACGCCACTGAGACGATTGAGCGTGTCCTCAGCAGAATACTTGAGTCGGTCATACTTGGCCTCGTGTGCCGCGATTTCTTTTCGATGCTTCTCGTTAAGTACCTTGTCACGCTCTCGCATGTGCGCGCTGGAGAACGTCGCGCCGTCCATGCGAGGCCGTCAAGGGTGACGATGGTAAGAGTCGAAGAAACGTGGGCAACGTGGGAGCTGACGATCAACAAACAACCCTGACCTTGTACCACCATCATGTCCACCATGCGACGGCCGCTGACGCCAGTGACGAGCTCGAGGCCCTCGGCGTCGCCACTCATAAAGTCGAGCGTCTCCTTACCCCCGGCTCCTCAGCGACAACCCACCACGCCGTTGCCACTGCGAGCAATACCTTCCACCCTCGCGGTCAAGTCTTCTCCTTCCGTACCTCCCGCATCTGCAACGTATGAACCGCTCATCAAAGCCGTTCTCCGGCAACGGCTTCTCTGGAGGATTTTCTTGGGCTCCATCGCGTTTTGTTGGGTGCAGACAGTGGCATGGACAATATGGTGTCTCGGCGGTATTGAGGAACTGGGGATTGGCGGGTTGTTCATGGTTCCAGTGGCGCCGTCAACATCAATGATGGCATATGTGTACTGGGCAGCGGTAGCATTGCCTATCGTGGTGCTAAGAAAAAGGCATCTCACAGGTGCGTCGACGCGCTCTCTCACTGAATTTATTTGTTGATTCAGTTTTCCTTAGGCCATTACTCGACATCAAAGACGCCTTTAAAAACCTTGCAGAATGCGCTGGTGAGGCAGAGCACTAAAAGCGCATTCCTGGTATATTTTGCCTCTGCGATCATTGCAACCCTTCTCCATGTTTCAATGGCTCGAATGTCCAAATCGGATGACCCTCGTCTGACAGTGTTTGTCAAATCAAAGTGAGTGGCTGATGCGCATGTTCATTATTTTCGTGTTTAACTGGATCAGGAAGCACCCATATTATCTGAATGGCCGTTTGGTGTTTCTTCTGACATCTCAAGTTATTGTTGCATGTTGTTCTATGCTCCGAAACATCATGATGGATCGCTTTGTTTTTCGATGGCCATCCTCTTTTGTAAGCATAATTTTCAAACCATAAATCATATGCTGAGGTCTTCTGCAGAACGAGACCCGAAAATCTGCAGTTACGGTCGGCGACTTCTTACGAACACTGGCCGTAGTAGTTCTCCTCGCATCCGTTTCCGTGCCCACATCCGCTGCTGTGTTTGCTACTGCTCGGCTTACGTTTCCCATACTTTACCGCCTACCATTACTTCATCTTATCCTACGACCATTCACCGCACACTTCCTTCGGGGACCTTGGACAATATTTTTGCCTGTCCAACATTTCGCTCTTCTGACAAGATCGTGGCTCCTGGCGTTTTCAACCTTGGCGACCTGGGAGGTCGCAGAACTACTGTTTGATTCCTTCATCAGCCAGCCCATTCCTGTATCACATCTGACCGCGGACCCCGCAGTGACCCTCGTGTCAGGAGCAGCTTCCCCTGATATAACATTTAAATATTTTGCATATGCAGAATTGAACGAGTTATCTACTGACCCCACTCCTTCAGCGAGTGCACGTCGGACAGCTCTTTTCAGTGATCAAAAGTATTTTCCCAATCTCTGGAGTCATTTGTGTAGGGAAAGTCTTCTCGTTCTCGGGCGAGATTATCAGCATTTCTTGCGCAGAGGTGCGCCCCTTGTCACACCGCCTCCTGCAGCAGCAACGGTGGCCCCCAAACCACCCACCTTCCTATCCACACCTATATCGGTAAACAAGCAGTCCATCTACAAGGAAGCGAAACCGTCCCCCATCAGTAGCGTTATTGATTCCTTCAGTGCGGATGGATCATTTGCACAAGTAGTTGAAGCGGGTGCCGAAGCTGCACACATTCCGGAATTATTCAAGTCAGCTAGTACTGCTTTACCCGTCCCAGCAGAGGTGATCAAAAGTGTGGAAGAAGCCAAGGATTATTTTGGGAATGTCAAGAAATCTTTGGGTGATGCCATTCATCGGTACACGCCTGTTGCTGTGCAGGAGGCATTTGGAACATGGACAGATTGGTGGACTAGGGAGCGGATAAATAAGGTCGCAGAAGGATCTTTACCCGGGCGCGAACTTGATCTCCTCGTCATAGAAGGTACGATCATGGCATTACTTTGCTGTTTTGGGGGTTAACTTGTCTTTTACTTTTATTAGTTCTATCGCACTTGACCTGTTCTTCCTTAACAGAAGACCGATATGGGGTCGTCCAACGGGATATTCCCAAAATCCTCGAGGCGATGCTTTCCTTCCTGTCAGCAATTGAAGACTACCAGATTGAACTGAACGCTCTGCAGCCACCACCACCAGAAGAGGAGGAAGGCGTTTCGGAGAAAGAAAGAATACAGCACGAGCATCTTCGGATAGAGTTGGCGAAAGCTAGTGAGGTCGTGGGATACCTAAGTGCCGGTGAGTGTCTCACGATTACCCTGTTTCTGTATACTGACGGGGATCGGTCGTAGGATTGAAAGATGGTATCGCGCGCGTTGTTCGGACGTTTGGAAGTACATTGAATGCGTTCAAGTTTGCACCGCGTACCGCAAAGAAGCTGCAAGGGTTTGTAGATTATATTCAGTAATCATGATCAACCTTTTTGTGTTTCTGTCAGCAGGCGGTTCTGGGTCGTCTTCAGTCGGCAATTCGCTTCAAGCAGCTACCGGAGTCTAGGTAAGGATTATGTAATATCAGGAGGATGCTAGACATTGCCGGTTTACTCTCATGCAAAGAGGATGATCAAGGGTACCGATATGTGGTATCGTTTTATTACCCCAAGGTGTGGAACTGAATCTGAATTTTCTGCTTCAGCTGGCTCAACACACCTTATGCAAGATACTCGCTTTGGGCGTCGTTCCCTGTTACACGTACTTGCCAAAATCTGGAACACTCACATAACGCCTATCATTGAGGATGCAAAAAGTGCAAAGGACCATGATGTGGTCAAGAGTCACTACCCAACCTGGAGGAAATTTTTACCACCCTTTTTGATACGGAGCAATGATTCGTCCCATTCCCCATTTCTCCATGGAAGCAGCGAGGCTGATGTGGACTCGAGACATCCGAGGTCCGCCCTCAGATTAAAAATCTGTCCTGGGGTATTTTTGTGACTAACGGTAATCATTGGTCGATTAGATAGCACCTTGTCAAGTACGTCCATTCAGCCGCTCTTGGGTTTATACTGACTGACGAAATTGATTTGCAGACCGAAGAGGTTACTACGCTAGTCCAGCTTACTTTCTGTCTACCCCACCGACGGCATCCATAAATTACATAAGGTCAGTGTTCTCGGTCTTTGGCTTGACCCCCACTTCTCAGGATACGGCTATCAGCTTTGCGAACGTTGCGCATCATGGTATCCATCATGGGAGCTTAACCGGAGAGTGCGGGTTGGCCGGGGATCCTTCACCGCTGTACGTTAGCTTTTAATTGAGCTCACTTGATGCCACATCGGCATGAATAGGTTCCTTAATTCGCCAGAACAGAAGAGCTTGTGTGAATGACTAGGTGAGCCTCATCCGGTCACTTGTAGTGCCGCAAATGCTTCGCATTCTCACAGGAACGTATAATGACCACCGATGCATCGATTGAGGCTTGGTTACGTTAACGCTCCGAGGTACCAACTATGAGATGTTGTGTAGAGATGAATGGCAGCTGGAACGAACCTTGCTTCTCAAGTGCATAATGGCAACGTTTGGTAAGAGTGATTGTTTGAAACAGCAGTCCAGTCAGACTGAGAAATGTATACAGATGACGAGATGTACGGTCCTCTAACGAATTGCGCTCTTACCTCATACCGACCCGACGTACCTGGGCCGCTTTGACGATATGGAAAATTCAACATAGAATTCCTATACGCAGAACTTTGTTCTACATCAACTATCTGCTTCGTTCTGGATCCTATGGGACTAAATGTCTTCACAGTGACCCTCTCGGGCTCTGGGCCCGCGCGAGTGGGTGGTCCAGCTCATTCTCACGCGGCTGGATTATGCCTTTCATGATGGTGAGTTAATGTCTTGATACATAGAGGTAATGCTGAAATATATCAGAACCTCATCATCGGATTTACATAACCTCGAAGATGCCAGCATAAGCTCTTTCGATTCTGCAACGAGAAGCAGGACTTCTGCACAACTTGATTCATCATACGTTTCATGTTTTGCTTTAAATGAGGGTGGACGCGTTGCTTGTGATTCATTGTCCACTGTTCCTGCTGGCGTCAAAGATGAAGACCTCCGGCGTCATCTTCATCTCTGTCTTACTGCTTTGCCTGGCCTTCGATGCTACTGGTCGTCCCAGTGATCTCGGCCAGATTCGTCGCCGACAGGTGATGCGAACGACGTCTATATTGAATGGTAGGTATCACTGTGTCTTGTGTTTCTCTGTGATTCCCTTAAAGCTTCATATAGATCCCGCGCCTCAACCAGATTTACCAACTGTTCAAGAAGCTCAAACAGCGGCAGCAGCCGTTGGCTTAAACTTGGATGCCATCCAGGCAGATATCTTGTCAGTCAAGTCAAACTCTGATCGTTGTTCTTTTGTGGCTGATAAAGTATAGGGTGGGGATGAAGAAGAAGAAGGAGCTGTTCTTCTTTTTCGGTATTCAAAATGCGACCGACTTTAAGAGCAAGCTGGGAACAGATATCCACCCTCTCATTACTTCTACGACGCAGATATTGGATATTTCCACCCAGCCTCTAACAGCTGTCAATATTGCTTTTTCCCAGTCGGGACTCGCTGCTTTGGGCATCACTGATAATTTGGGTGACCAGTTCTATTCCCAAGGACAGGAAGCCGATTCTGCAGCCATTGGTGATCCTGGAATGGGCAGTTGGGTACAATCGTTTGCGGGAACATCTGTTCATGGCGTTTTCCTCCTTGCATCGGACACTATTGATAATGTCAATGAGACGCTGTCAGACATCTCATCGATATTCGGCGACGCCATCGCTGAACTACACCGTGTTCAGGGTGAGGCCCGTCCTGGGTCAGAGGAGGGACACGAACGTAAGTCTTGCATCTTGCGATCCATTAGGATCGTTTCTTAATGATGCATATCCAGATTTTGGGTTCATGGATGGAATCAGTCAGCCAGCCGTTATTGGCTTTACACAATCGCCATTTCCGGGTCAGCTAGCTGTCGATGCAGGAGAAATCCTACTTGCTGAGGAAGGAGATAGTACTGCTCGTCCGCCATGGGCTAAAGATGGCTCGTTCCTGGTCTTCCGTCAGATGGAGCAGCTGGTCCCAGAGTTCAACAAGTTCTTGTTGGACAATCCGATTTCTGAGCCCGGTGTGCTCACTCCCGAGGAGGGATCCGCCTTGTTGGGAGCTCGTATGCTCGGACGATGGAAGAGTGTATGTATTTCATGGTATTCTTGTGTGAAGACTAATTTATGATTACAGGGAGCACCCGTTGATCTTGCGCCGTTGTTTGATGACCTTACGCTGGCGGCAGATCCTATGAGGAACAACAACTTCACCTACCACCAAGACGGTGAAAGTAGCACTGACCAGACTAGGTGTCCCTTTGCCGCCCATACCAGGAAGACACGACCCCGAGGGGATTTCACGCCGGAGGACACGGCGCATCACATCATTCGCGCTAGTATCCCGTACGGACCCGAAGGTTAGACCTTTTTCAAGTCGAAATCAGATGGCTTATAGAATATATCCAGTGACTGATGATGAAGCGGCATCAAACACGACAAGCGCTTCCTTGGAACGTGGTCTTGCCTTTGGTTGGTTGGAATGTTTTCGTCCGTACAAGCGTCGACCTGATTGATGTTACGACAGTCGCATATCAATCCGACATTGGCCAGGGCTTCCGATTTTTGCAGCAGGTTTGGGTCAACAATGCAAAGTAGGTGTTCTGATTTCTCCTGTGTCCTGACCTGAGTATTTTGTAGCTTCTTCCAGGCCGGAACCGGTGTAGATCCTATCATTGGGTCTGCAGGGACCGATCCTTCTCTAAGAAATCGTACAATTACTGGTCTAGATCCAACAGACCCGGGCAGTGCTATCACATTGCAGAATGGTGGGTGTCCAATCAAACATCGGACTGGCGGCTTTGGGTTAATCATTGGGACCTTTCAGATTTCGTTGTGTCACGGGGTGGAGAGTACTTTTTCTCGCCCTCCATCTCCGCTATATTGAATACCATTTCGGCCTAATACCCCTGTTGATGTAAACAAAGAAGCGATATACTCACAGACAGTTAAAAATTCTGATTTTCTCTCCGTGTTCCAATTATATCATAATTCATCTATCCTGAAGGAGGTGCAGCTGATTCGCTACTAGTGCTCTGGAGGTTTTCACAGAATCATCTTCAAGTCGGCGTGTTTGACGCATGAACAAGACTTCCCTTCAATGTGATATAGTGGGATGGTGATGTGCTTGGTAATGGCTAAGTGACTAAGAGAGGCGAATGAGGAATGAACTCTCAATCACCAACCTAACCACTCAATACACAATCACCAAATACAGTTGAGGTCGGTTGTTTCGAGTACAATAGAAGCACTCTTGCAGTCTTAAATAAAATCAAAGGGGCAGTCAATAAAGACAGTTATTCAACTCTATCTTGCTTTCAAAGATGAAATACTCGTGAGAGTAGTTTATAGCAATGTTTAAGTATAATTAGGACTTATAATCAACACCAAATTGCGCTCTAAATCAACTTAGAATATTCCGAAACCCAATGAACTCCGAAACCCAAATACTAAGTCTATCAAGCACTTAGGCTTGACTAGCTGCACTCTTGGCTGGCTAGCAGTCCTCAAAACCAAAGAACTTGTACTCTGATGCCGAAACCCTTATAGTTTGGAACCCAAATTAATCCGAAACCCAAAATACAGTTATTATTCCAATCCAATCCTCTCTAAGTGACAAAGCAACTTAAATAAATCACTAAGTCGAAGCAGAACTCAAAATCCGTTGTCCCAGGGACTAGCTACAGTGGGCTAGAAGGCCTGAACGCGGGGGTGGGTCGCTTGCTTCCTATTTCCCCCCCCATTCCCTTCTTTTATACACCAACAACATGTACAGAATCTATAAATAAAGCATTCAAAATAATATTTCTCCTGTTTAAAGCGGAATCACACCATTATTCCGGAATGGCGGCACTCCTGGACTCCCCTAGGCTTGCCCAGACCTGCCTGGCCACCGCTCAGCTTTATTTTAAGCCTACAGTGCCTGTGGGTACCTAACTCCTTTCTGTCTACTCAAAGTTTTAAT